GAGCCGTCTAACAGCAGGATTTATAAAAGCAGACTCATCCAATTCAACACAACAAGATAGATTTACATACACATCACCTAATTCTTATTTATTTACATATATGTCACCTAAACTTCATTCTTTACATTTATAATACAAGAATCTTTCACATCACATAAAAAAAATATCATTTTAAATTTTAAGAAGTAACATACACTTTCAGGCATAGATAAGGTGGTATGTATGTAAAATTAAAGTTTAGGTATCAAGTATGTAAATACATAAAAATTGATTGGTATGTGTCTATAAATCTTCCAGATTTTTTTTTTAGAAAACAAAGCAACAGCATGAGTTTTCATAGTAACAGTATAAAAAAAACCATAGGAATTAAAGCATTTTATACAAAACTACAATTTTTCCTAATTAGATAACAATGCAACAAAGGTTAAAACTGGGAAGTAGATTACATATTCACATTATAGCCTCCTTTAAGAGACCCCATCCTAATCCATTCTCAAAAGAATTCAATTTTAAGTGCTGGAAGAATATGGATTTAAAAAAGAACATAACATGAGATAATGGGCTCTGTCAGGCAGCAACAAATACCGCATACCTTTGTATCCACAAGCTAATAGCGAATAGTTCTTTACCAATACACTGTTGGGGAAGCCTCTTTGAGGAACTTTCAACGGCTGGCGTTTTAGTGGAGGGAGGCGTGAGCAGGGGTTTATGTCGTGCGTATTAGAGGAGGGGGAGAAGCAGGTAAGGGAGAGGGTTTTGGTGCCGAGAGAGAGGAGGCGAGCAGGGCTTCTTCTGCGTGAGAAAGAGGGGAGTCCAACGAGCTGGAGAGGTGAGCCTAGCGTTTCGTGAAGAAGGATCGGAGGAGAGCCTAATCTCGGTGTCGGGAGAAGGAGAGCCGAATGGGAGGCAGGAGACGGGATTTTGTCGAGAGAGGGAGGCGAACGGGATAGGCGAAGCAATTGTTTCAGTGCAGAGAGGCGAGCATCCTAGAGTGGTAGAGGGAGGCAAGGTCGATCGGGGGTTTTCGACGGCAGAGAAGGAAGGAGGCGAATCAGGCGTATATCAGAGAGCGGGGGCGAGGCGAGGGGGCTTCTGTGCTAAGAGGAGCAGCTTCGATTGCGAGGAAGAGGGAGGCCAACGAATCCCGAGCGCGATGAAGAAAAAGACAGGCGGGAGAGTTGCGGTGGAGTGCTTCAGCAAGAAGAGCAGGGCTTCGAGCAGGACGAAGAGGCGAGGGAAAGCTTTCGGTGCAGAGGGGAGCAGACGAGCGGGTTTGTTTCGATGCAGAGGAAGGAGAGTCGAGCACGAGTAGAAGAGGGGGGCCGAATGATCAATTCCTGGTGGAGGAGAGGCGAGCAATTTTGTATATCGCAATTCTGGAATGATCGTTATACGACGATGGGCGGGTAATTGATTATCGGCTTAATTAGAATATCATAATATCTAATTAAATTTAATTAAGCAGAATTTAGACGGGATAATTTCAAATTTCAAATTTCAAATTTCAAATTACAAATTGGATTGTCAGCCCGACCCAACATAATTGGGCTATGTTTAGCTCGAATCGAACTCAGGTTAAGCCTAAACTCATCTCCTTTAATTAAATTTAATATGCATCGATTTTCGTGTCATATGCGCGCACGTGAAACCATAGTAATATGGGGGTCCTTCCTAGCTAAAGTCGATGTTCCGGACGCATTCGCGTGATCCATTTCATCATGTGAGATCGTACGAAAAAATTTGCAGACAGTCAGGTCAATTCAAGTCAACATCGTGTGTGGTGCAGTGAGTGCGTAAATTGCGGCGTTCTCGAGTGTTCGAGTCATAAATAGTTTACTTAAGGCCTTCTAAATCCTGTGGGAACTCATTTTCGGGTCTTCTACATGCTAGTTTTTAGTCTTTGCAACTAAGAGTTGAGAACTAAGAGTTGAGTGTTTGGAGTGTTTGAGACTACTCATGCGAGGTCTGCACAAAAATGAGTCAAGAAGTGGTTCGAAGTTCTATGGGAGGTGGGCTCAATTACTAGTCTGCTAGGATGGTAAACAAGGAACTCCTAAAGCTAGATCTTGGGTTCTAAGAGTAGGAGACTAAGACCTCACTGAAAATGAGGTCAACAAACCTCTTGGTGGGTGTCGAGCTTGAGAGGTTCTTGATGCATGCTGTTGTTGGCGCGTGAGTAACAAGTGTGTGGCTACTCCAGGTCACCTCGCACGATGACTACTTCCCCATTGCATGAGAACTTCACCTTCATGTAGTAGGTCGATAGTACGGCTTAGAAAGAGTTTAAAGGAATACTGAAGATGGTAGGTCGTTGGCAAGTGATTTGATAGTCAAGGCAACGGTTCACAGGATTCCATTATTTCCCCTGAGAAGTCGTAGAGTGGCTCAGGTGTGGCTAAGACACAAGTAGCTCCCAAACCCATTCTGTCAGAAAACCGATTTGAAATTGATGTTCATTGAGCTCCTAGTGTCAATGAGTATACTCCCAAGTTCGAAGTATACTCATTGAGCTCCTAGACAACAAGAAGGGAGGTGACGACGAAAGCTTCGTTGTAAGGATTGCCCTTGAGGGGCGGGTCTTCATCTGTAAATCAAATCGGTGGATGTTGTGTGACGCATTGTGGAAGAAAGGTTGTCGTGAATAACTCTCCCGAACGAAGCCTCTTCAAATTTATTTGGTGGGCGGCCTCACTCGTCTCCCCAGAAGATGGTGGGCGCGATGCCCACAATGTGATAGATTTGTTTGAAGCTTCCTCCGTCAAGGTTTTCCCTGTCGTTGGGTAATTGCTCGACTCCATGAACTCCTAGAGTTTTCCGGCCTTGATCAGGTCTTCAATCAGGTTAGGAAGGTGTAGATTCTTTTATATCGTGTCTGTGGTCTCGGTGATATGAGCAATATCTATTAGGATCTCGGAAATAGCCTCTAGCATTTATTGGTGACGCTTTCTTGAAATATTCTTTATTCTAGATGACTTCTACTAATTTTGTTATTAAGACTCTTAAAAGAGTCAACTAAGGGATTTCACAGGTTAGAGGTGACTTTTTCTCTGTGTGACGGTCTGGTCTTCAATCAGGGTAACAAACTCGGCCTTCCTAGTGGTGAATTATGTTGTCCAGCGTCTGATTTTTTGAAGATGGACAAGGGTCTTTAAAACACGGGTCAGCGGGCGAGAGTTGTTCCTTGGTCTCCAACCTTCTCCGTGGGCTCTTCTCTCAGAGGGTACGAGTTAGGTTGTTCTATTTTAGAAAGAAATGAAGTTATATCCTTCTATCGATAGGCAATTGTTGGTGAGCTCCAGTAGCTCGGTCAACTTTTTAGGGTGTTTTAAGCCCAGCGCATAACGGAATGTACCTTCCTTTAGCCCTTGGATGGGGACTGCATGGATGAGGGTTGCATGGGCTAACATAGGTTTCGAGTCCCAAACTTCTTGGATCTCCTTTAGGGAGCAGGTGTCAAAGACGCGTAGGTACTCGCTATGCCCATAGCACAGTTGTAGCAGCGTCTGCGAACTCTTGTGAGGCTTCTAAGTGTTGGCAAATTGTGGGACGAACATCATGCTGAAGTATGCAAATGAGGTGATCGGCCCCAATGGTAGTTCCTTGAACCACCAAAGGGTTGCCTATCTTAGGGTCGTGAAAAAAGATGACATTTCAGCACGTTATTTATCATGAGCAAGCACACGGCCGACTTAAAGAAGGCAAAAAGGTAAGTCGAGTTCGATTGTCCTTAATAGGACTCAAGGTTGAATCTTAAGATGCTCAAGGGGCTCGGCTTCAAAAATTTTCCTAGAGAAGAGTCATGGCACTGCAGTGCGCTTGTATCTTTGGTGGTCAAGTGGCGTCGATCCTGCTCTATCGAGGTAGTGAGTGTCTTTATCCCCTTATAAGGCTGGAGGGATTCTCCCATCATTTTGTGTGAGCACTCCCTGTAAGTGGTGAGATTCTATCTATCAAGGCGGTTGCACTCTCTTCTGAGCTAGTCAACTCTAATCATCTCCATCATATATTCTTTAAGGTCACTGATTTGCTGAGCCACAAACTCTCGGATGCAATTACCTCTACATGTTTACTGCACCTTTTCAAATTGTTGAACCAAGATTTAGTCGTGAATCACACCAAAAGAATAGAGGGTAAAAAGAGAGTGAGAAGAGAGAGAGAGAGAGAGCTTCAAAGGGGCGTTTATGTCTTAAGTTTCAACAACCATACTTATATTTAATGCCTCATTTATTTATAAAGGACTTGAATTATTGTCAAATGACACTTATACCCCTGACTCTCTTTGATCAGCCGACTTTTGTTCCGTCGATTCTAGGTTGGTGGACTACCAATTACTTAGTCTCTCGTCGGTCGGTCTTCGATCGGCCAGCCTCTAAGCCAATTGGTCTCAAGTCTGTCGGCCTCTAACCGATCGATCGCTTAATCCCCCCTTATCATTCAATCTCTATCATTCGATTATCCTAGCATCAAATACCCATGCATTGCTCTAGATTTATTTTTTCACACGTGCCTTTTCTAAACCGATACATCCACAGAAGATTCATTCAAGATTATTTTCATTTTACGCTGCTAAATTCGTTACCAAACAGCTCCTAAGAAAGGCGAAGCACAAAATTTCAAAAAAAAAAAAAAGAAGAAGAAGAAGAAGAAGAGAGGCAAAGCCTGTCATAGAAAATTCAGCTTTATATGCTAAATTAGCAATATTTAATGAAAATGACCAAAAATAAGAATATTCATAAGAACCGAACACCTAACAGTCCAGGGATTGCAAGAATCTCTGCCAGCCCTAATCCTTCTTATTGAACTAAAGTTAAAACCTATTCTTCTCAGACATTTGAAGATTTGTCTTACATGTAACCTGATCTCCAGCATTTAATTTGCTTCTGACCAATACATGCGGATGAAACTATGGTATAATACATTTACATTACTCAAATGGGCGGACTAAGCCCTCTTCAAACAAAAACACTAACGCTAATAAAGAAATGGGGCGTCCTACTCACAGTATCCTGCGGTGCACCGGCTTAAGCCCATCCCGCACGTCCGGGAGGGCACGGCCGAGAAGCACGGACATCGCATACGCCATGTAGGCCTCCTTGGCCTCCTTATGTAGCTCCGTCATAACGATCTTACCATCCCAACTACCAAGGCCGCTGCTATCTTTAATCAGCACCGTCCCGTTGCCCCCTTCCTCCTCCACTTTCCGCACTCTCGTGTCCCCTTTATCCCTCCGCCTCGCCTTAAGCGCGGGCGTCCGCCGAGTGTGCCCAGTAGAGAGAAAACGAAGCTCCAAGAAGCCGCTGCGGAGACAATGTCCGGAAGTGGAGAAGAACGGCCGGAAGCGCACGAGAGAGGACGAAGTCAGGCGGAGCACGGAGAGGGCCATTACCGATGCAAAGGGGACAGAAGACTGACTAGGTTTCTCCTCCCGCACGCAGCATCCGGCCGTTAGTTCGCGATACTTTTGGCAACAAAATTCTTCTCCCAAAGGCTTTATCGGAGGCTTCCCCTGAGAATGAAGCGAATGAGATAGACAGCGAGTGAAGACTGAGGTTTAGGGTTTTGAGTTTTTTTTTATTTTGGGCGGTTCGCGGCAAGTAGTGCAGCAGTGTCAGTTTGGAGTACGGCTGAAACAAGCCAAAGCCAAAGTAGGCTCTCGGTATTTTGCTCTGTGTGAAATTCTTTGTGAAGAGTATTTTTTTTGTTATATTGAGTTCGCTTTATACATTTCTTTCATGTACTTATAGAAATGTGCTCCTTTAAAATAATTAGGAAAATAAATAGAGAGTATTGTATTCAAGCATGTATTATTTCTATACGATAAAATATGCGGAATAATATAACCAAACGCGATATGATGATTTAAAACCATATATAATATATATATATATATATAAAAGATATGATATATAATTTCTTTATTTCGAGCTAAAACAAATTGAACATAAGTTAGGGCTCTTTTGGGGCAGCTTATTTGGTGCGGTGGCGTTTTGAAAATGCACCTGGTCTGTTTGGGTGAACTGCTTTTTGGCAGCTTATGCTTTTTCAAAACATTAAAAACAGTGTTTTCACACCGCACCTATCTAGGTGCGGTGCGATGGCAGTTTTTTTACTGCGATGTGGCTTTTCCAAAAAACTAAAAATTTGTAATTGTCACCACACCTAGTTTATTAGTAGATTATTTTTAATCAGCTTATCAGCAGATTATTCAATAAGTTGCAGCTGCCCCAAACAGACCCTTAGTCACACACAACGAGCATTTTTTACACCTCAATTTGGTGTTTCGGTGCACGGTTATGGCATGCAGGTTATAGGTGTAATAATTTACTATCAGCAACTAATCAAATTAAAACAATAACAAAATATTTTAAAAAATGTTAGATTTATATTTTTTATTATATATTGTTGAATCCAAATCTTTATGTGAGATATACCTAATGAATAGAGCGTTGAAGGGTGTGAGAGAGAGGGGGTGAGCAATAGCATAGTAATGAATAGTAGATTTGCATAATATTTATTCATGAAATAGATCACCTATTTATAAAAATAAGTTAATGTACAATTACATATTGTAACCCAAAGGTACGTAGGTACGATAGGGGTATTCAAGTCTTTACATAAATTTAGCTCGTGGGGTCCATGGATGTGATCGGGCCGCCCTTAAGCCGGACGGTTATTAGGACAGGCGGTCCTCAACCGTAACGGCCATCAGGGTAGCCGGGTGTGCATGACTGAGTGGCTTCTATGTTGGTCGGCTACTTGTTGAAGATCCACATCAACCGCACTGGGGCTGAAGAGCTCATCTCTCTCTCTCGATCTATTTAGAAGGCAATGGACTCACCCGAGTGGGTTTGATAAGCTAGACCCTTTAGCTCTTTTATCCATCTGAGGCACACGTCTCTACGGTGCGAGGGTTTAGCCAATCGAGTATGTGACCCAAGATTACCCTTGATAAGCCCTGCGACTTTGTGCATCTTCTTCGTCATCCGTCTGATGTCTTTACAATTCATGCTAGCACGTCAAGTTCATTGAGGTATATTTTATTGTACATGAATCAAACTAATTCGCTATAAAATAAATGCTTAGTTGAGTATTTGGCAACTTCATTTTCAAAACGATTTAATTGATTTGTTTATTTAATGGATATTGCTTATTTTGAAGCATAATATTTGTCTAATATGCTGCACTACAAGAATAAACTCTTTATATGCCAGCTCTAGCTAATGGCATAAGTTGCATAGCCATGATGAATGCCAACATTCCATTGTAAATTGAATGTTATCAGCATATTATTAAAGGCGAAATAAAATACTACAACCAAGGTGTTTAGATTTGCATCATATCACATAATACGAACAATGAAATTTCAGATATTAATAGAAGGAAATCTTTCTCCAAGTGAACTAAAATGAAGGACACAATAGCAAATGATAATATGCTTTACTTTTTACGCATCTAACATCAAAATTTTACTTTTTACATTTATATCATCCAAAATCTTTCATATCACATAAAATACCACATTTTTTATCTTTTAAAAGTGAAAATAGACCTTTTCATTTATATAAGGTGGTGTGTTTGTTAAAATCAAAGTTTGGGTGTTAGATATATAAATAGATAAAATTCAAGTGGTTTTACTGGAACATAATGTAATGCATATTATCTCAAAATATGCTCATGGAATTGGCTGAGAACATAATGTATAGTCTAAGCCAGTTGAACAAATTTCTAAATAGAAATCAATGTAAAAAGGCGGATTTCAGATCAAACTTCAGCCAAACAACGCAGATGAAGCTGATCTTGGTCGCACATATTTATCAAAAATTTGGCGAACTTTCCATCAAACCAAGGACATTACTAGTTCTATGACCTATTAGCACACACACACATTGCTGGAACATGATGTAATAAATAGGTAAGGTGGTATGCTTGTCAAAATCGAAGTTTGGGGTTATAGATGTTAATACATATGGTTTGAGTGATGTGCATGTAAATCTTCCAAAATGTGTAGGAGTTAAAAGATGTATAGGAGGATAGAATAGGAAAGTTTAATGCCTTATGATATTCAGTAAACAAAACTGTGAATAAAGAGATCATTCCCACTTAGCTTAGTTTCACCAAACATTATAGCAAAAAAGTTTCTAGTGCAAATTGCATATGAACCAAACTAACTATTTAGCAATATCTACTAAGAAATATCTATCTTTCAATTCATTCATTTCTATAAATCGCATATGAAGTTGTATAACCTTAGTTAGTTGTGATAAAAAGAGAAATTGAATTTGTAAAGAAAACTACAATAAGCTTCAAAACTTCAGTTGAAAACAACTTGTGAAGCACCTAAACACGGGTATTTTTAAAGATATAGGTATATCTTATTAAACTCTCTTAAACAGAGAACCACATGTTAGACCACAACATAAAACTTCAATTTAGTAATCTAACACAATGTAGAAATAACAACACATAAGAGTAAATGAGTAAAATAAAAATTGCACATTGGATAAAGTCTTCTTATAAATAATTCATAGGACCTCACAAGCACATAGATATTTTTACTTTTAACTAGTAATGCAGAAATTGATAAATATTTCTTCATTATTTGATATGAGACAGCTAATCAGCTTGATCGACATCTCTGAATCATTACCTGGAAGCACACAAAAATTTTTAATCAAATACAATTTCTTAAGTAGAATATATTCAAAATAACAAAGAGTACTCAAACATACAAGTGCTATCGATAAATTATTTGCAATAGCATCTCGTATTGTGTCCCTTCAAAGACTCTCACCAGTTATTGTATACATGTCAGGGGTTTTGTTTGTGATAGTACTCTCACTTAACTAGCTATCGTGGTCTATTTTATGTTTAAACATAATAAAATGTAAATCACTCCCATGATAATGTCCAATAAAATTGTGTGAAATTGTACAAGCCATCGCAATGTTTGCTTGTACCTTAATTGCGACCTTACTCGTGTGACTTAAAACTTGAAATCTTTTATTTCAAATTATGAAATTTCTTTCAACAACATTGCATAGTTCGTAAATACATAGTTTGAGTATCTATGGTTCATGGATGTACAATAATCACTTAAATAGTAATGATATTCCCTGAAGGGTGTTATCATCTTCCCAATATTTGCATACGATGAGTCCACCAAATAGTATTTATTTTTAGGCATCGTAAATTCCCCCTCCTCTATTGACCATCATAATAGCCTCATATCAGCAGCAGACTGCAATATTGTATACAAATTGTCGACTAAAAGTAACAGAGCTATCACATTTTGCAATGTAAATTATTTTATATTACAATACTTGTTTGTGCAAGTCTACTAACCACTGTTGGGATATGAGTTCCATCAATCATCCCGGTAGCATTTTGAAAATATGGATAAAATTATGTTGTTGTCTATATGAAATGGTCATAATTCGATTATTTTGGGGCGCAACTTAATGAACTCTTTTGATAGTGATGTAATCACTCTTAACAAAAGTTAAAGTACCTACTTATTATTTCTAATAAGTGCTAAAAAATTTAAAAAGTTGCCTATGGCTATGAGTGCATACCCCTCTTCTAAGAAAAATTCTTAATTGTTCTGCAATGTCCATATGCTTAGTATCCCATAAATGCAATAGTTTAAATAAACGAGCACAATACTGGAACTGATGTACCTATCACAGGGAATAGACAAATTACTTGATAGCGAGTCACGATTAAATAAACTAAATAATTTATAACATATATTTTTTGTCTGCGAAACCTTTTATGTTGACAGACAAGTTCTCATGTCTAATATAGAAGATTAGATAGAGTTTATATTAAACTAGGTTTCAAAGTTCTCTATATAGGCAAACGCTTATAGTTAATTACATCTTAAGTAACTAAAATCGCTTAAGAATACACTCGATTCAGATTAGTGGTTTTGCTTTCAAGAATTCCAAAGTTTAAGGTTTTCAAGATTGGACATTGGAAGTTCAAAAGGGAGACCATCAAATGAGAGCAAATATTTTCGGGAATCCAAAGAAATGAAAGGTAGGAGATGTCACTGATCCAAGGGAGATCTCGTTGACTTCTCAAACTATCTTACTATTTGGCTTCAATTTTGAGAAAATATTATTTGATGTTTCATCTCACCAATTTTATTATTTATGACTTACACTTGCATAACACAGTCATACAAATAACCTGAAAGATAAGAGGGAGAGTTTACGTCGTAACGAACGACAACCTAGGAGCCTAAGCTAGTTAAAGATTAAATTGCACAACACGACTGTGCAAAGGCCTAAAGATAAGTTGAGAATTTATGTCGTACTAGACGAGCTACCTCGAAATCCTATGACTTGTTATTTAACTCTAAAGAAGGTTTTGTTGGAGTATACTCCTTTTGTTGTTGTAGATCGTCATCGGTTCAATTGCATCTTGCTCCGAGCTCCTTATTGCACCAGCTCTGGGGTCTCCAGGTTTATGGTTTTGTAGTTTTCGTGTCAAGTCTTTATTATTTTTCAAGTGTTTTTTTTTTTTGGTTAAAGTTGATTAGAGCGACACAGGTTAGGATCCCATGGTTCCCTCATTTTGGTACCACTATTTATTTTTTAATT